AAAGGTATAATATTTTAATTGAGGATTTCATAAATTCTTACATTTCTCAAAATTCAGCCAAAACTAAGTGCATTAGAAGCACTCATTGATTCATTAAAAATGTACTTCCTGAACCTCATCGGTCATATCACAACAATAAATGTCAGAATTTGAAATGTGCCACTCTTGCCTTTGACAAGCACCTCAACTGATTCATAGGAATGCTAAATTTTAAGAACAGTAGTAGCATTATCATGAGAGATTTTAAGAGATACATGAATCCTCCAATCCTAAATATATAATATTATTTTCTGGGAAGAGGACTCATAGCCATAATCAGACTTCTTATGAGTTCATAAATACCAAAAATAAATAAAACCAAGAGAAATTTTGAGATCTCTCTCCATGAGTATACTCTCCACAATGGATGTAAAGTAATACAAGATTTTCAATGGCTCATGTTTTGGGAAATTAAAAATGACCATTCCTTCCCAAATTTTTCTTGATGAGCTACAGTTTTGTAGATGTATTTGACAAACAATCCTTTTTCCACTTTTTGGCTCAAATAAGATTTATTAATGGAATGAATGATATTAAAGACAAAATTGCCATAGAGACTGATAAAGTTTAGAATTTAATTTGACTTTCACAGACCTGATTTTTCTACAATGAAAAGCCCCAGTGTTTAATAATAGAGGATGTGAGCTGAGCCTATGCTTTCCTCAACAGATCTAAGAATCCTTCCTTATTAGACATCTTCAAATACAGAAGACATCTAGAAAAATCAGCAAGTCCCTAATCAGACATTAGGCAGTAACTTATGTCCTTAAGTATATCAAGTTTTTGCCTTAAGAATGACAGTTCTTACATAGCAGATATCTTTGGCACAACTTTACGTCAGTAGAAGTGATTCAACTCCATTCCAAGTTATATTGCCATCATGAACTTCAAAATTCATAACAGTGATATAATAGGAATAACTTTGTATGGAGATACTGAGTATATTTTACATTAAAAAGACATAGAAAATAATTGTGATAAATTGAAAATTGGAAACAGTACATTTCAGCCATTACCACCAAGTAGGAGTCTATTTTCCCTATTTTTGGATCTAAATAATCTTACAATTTGCTTTGAGCAATAGAAAGTTGCCATTCTGGAATGTACATCCTATGTTCTATATTCTCTTCTTGGAACACTGTCACTGCCACGTAAAGAAGTTGAAGTAATAACTGAAAGATTACATGGGGGGCGGGACCCAGTCCAGAGCTAACATCAAGGCCCACATCATATGAGTAAGGCCACAGACCCATTTACCACAACTAAGAGGAATATGACAATGCCACCTGTGTGACCTCTGCCAAGACTAGTAAGAGAATCACTTCAGTTGATCCTAGCCAACCCAAAGAACTGTAAAACACACTATTGTAGTGTCATTTCCAGCCACTAAGCAGTGTTTTGTTATACAGCAAAAAGTAATACTTGCTCCAGTTTAGCCAGAGATTATATTTACAAAGTAAAAAGAAAAACACAGAAAGCACTAGAATACACAGTAATACCTCGGTTTATGAACATTTCTGTTTGTAAACAATTTGGTTTATAGCCAAAGTGGCAAAATTTTGCTTCTATTTGCACACTCTACATCAACTGACAAACACAACCATGGTTATCTTCCCCACACAAACACAAATGTGGCCATCTTCCCCAAAACTGTAAGACAAATGAAGTTTGTGAACTGAGGCACCACTGTATTCTGAAGAAAATATTTATTGTGATGGACAAGGTGTGTTATCCAAATCCTCCTCAAAGAATAGTTTGCCCCAACTATGGGTGTTGAGAGACATTCTACATAAACTTGTGGGGGAAAACATTTCATAAATTAAGTATGACAACAGTTGTCTAAGGCCCAATGTCACCTTGCCCGAGAGCTGGCTATGGTGTGTGGAAACATAACTCCGTTTTGCCTTTGGTTACAAGTTGAGGCCTCAACGGTCCCATGATACTGTGATGCTCAAGGGCAAGTGTACATCAGCTGAAGATATTCTAGCTCTTTGAGAACCAAGTAGTAATAAAAAAAGAGAAAAGTTTCACCTGAGGGAAGGATACATTTTTTATTAGTCTGCTATCTTGGCCCATCTACTATTCTAAGAAGGCTCTCCTTATGGCCTTCATCAACATAAGATCCTCATAACTTATGATCCTGATCAACATAAGATTACTGCCACCTCTTAAGTTACCTGATACTCTCTCTGATTGTTGTGTATATCCAATAAATCATGGCTAGCTCAGAGTCTTTGTCCACTCTAAGGCACTGACCTCCTGGGCCCCTATATGCTTCGAAAGGATGAAATCTCTATTGTCTTTTTGCTTTAGTCCTCACCATCCCTCTTTCTAAGCAGTCAGAGGACTGATCACCCTCCAATATATGGGAAATGTAATTAACGGACAGCTTCAACTAGCCGGTCCTTCAGGGTTTTTCTCAAGTGCCCAGAGTTGCCTCTTCCACCTTTTCTAAGTCTCCTGATATTTAATGACTGTGCAAGGTGGGGGCACAAAATCCCAGTTATTTTAGTTCAGGATTTCAAATGCTGATGGGCAATTTCTATTAAAGAACTTTCCACTGGGTTGCCCAAGGCTTTTAAATAAGTTTGTAGGAATATTTGTAACTAAGGACAGTTTCCTTGGGGTAGTAGATTATCAGGGCAAGCATTAGCCCAGGATTGGCCAACTTCTAGGTTTACTCTGACTGGGATTTCCCTTGTTAAATGTAAGAGACAGAGACAGAGAGAAAAGAGTAAATCAAAAAACAAAAAAGCAGCAGCAAAAAGTAAGTAAAATAATCCCTTCTTTGGAAGAAGAAGGGATGACAACATGAAAAGGTGGATAGAAGCCTATGAAGCCTTGAAAATTTTAAGGAAAATAAATCCAAAACTTTGACATGTAATGGTCTGGATCTACTTGAAATGTGAAAGCAGTTTCAGGACAAATAAGAAGAATCACTTTAGGGTTGGGGATTTAGCTCAGTGGTGCCTCTGTCTGCCTTGCAAGCACAAGGTCCAGAGTTTGATCCCTGGTACCAAAAAAAAAAAAAAAAAAAAAAAGGAAGAATCTGTTCACACAGCATTAAATGCATTTAAAGAACTCACTATGCCATACAGACAGTATTGGCTAAAAATGCAGAGTTTACAAGAAACACTTACTTTCAAGAGTGCCAGGATGGATTAGTGATGGAATTCAGAAAATTTACAGCTGAGAGTGGGAAGGAAAACCTGTAAGGCTGAGTTCCAAAGCCCTTGGTTAAGTCTTCTGCCAGAGGCAGAACTCTGGGCAGACTGGCTTTCGCTCTGTCCTATTTTAGCCTTTCGTATGTTCATTTGCTTGCTTCTGAGAGAAAGAATATGCTGCCCTGGCAAAATTTGTCTGACAGGGTGTTGGATTCCATTTTTGAACTCTGAAAATAATCTTCCTTTCTTTCTCCCTTAAAGGTAAAGTGAGTCCCTTTGTTTCAAGGTCACCTGTATGGTGTGGTGTGGGACAGAAGTGGTAGAGGAATAGCTGATTCCCTTGATTCCTAAACAGATTCAGTGTAAACCCAAAAGTATCTCCTACTTGAGCATATGTCCCGGATTTCTTGCATACAAACCTCATTTCTGCCTCTAAATTGTGTCCAAGGGGGTCAACTGTTTCATTCTTACTCTATCAATAGATTTAGTTGTTTGTCTAACTCCTACCTCCCCTCCAGGGCTAAAGACTTGAGGTATAAGTTTCCCTTGGAGAAACTGGCATGCTTCATTTAATCCTGCTACAGCCAGACTGCTGTGGATGTCATGCTTCTGATGAGACATTAAATCAAGGTAAACATTAATTCCTCAGGCTGGAGCATAGCTTCACAGGAAACTCTGCAGCCAGCCCAGGCCCTCTACCTTGACTGCAGACCCCAGCCCTTCAAAATTAATTATAAAATATCCCTTCTGGATATATTAGAAACTGTATTTAATTTGGTGGAAAAAAAAAACAGTCACAAATCTTGCCTGAATACAAATGCTTCCAAGGAGTAAAAGGTCAAAAAATAGTAAATTTGTGCATCAAAACATTGTATTTCTGCTTTCAGCAAACACCAAAAGCATAATCTACATCTTTGCATGACCAGAATACAACAAATTGAGATGTAGACTGTATGGGTAATCATGTAATGGGATCCAATAAAATAACCAAAAAAATCCTAAACTTGTTTGGGAAAAAACAAGGCAGCTCAAGATTGACATTTCAGCCTCTTGTCCCCTTAAAAGTTTTCATTTTTCAGATTCAATCTAATTTACCTGGAATACTGATGTTATGTAAGGACATAATTTAACTTACTTTTAAACTAATTTCACAACATCGTCAACTGGGCAATTCTTTTTTTTTTTAGACATTAATCTGAAGCATCTGTGCTGGCCTGTGTCCAGGCTCTTCATTCTGGTCCACTTCTCTGCCTCTTGGTCTCTCCTTGATGCTGATTTAATTGTACAATTTGTGTCTTAAAACCTTTAGCCTGTCTCTTTATTTCTAATATTTAAAAATATTCATCATTCTTTTCCATTTATTCTTCCAGTTAAAATCATCCTTATCAAGTTCAAATAAATAAATCTCAATACAACTTTCATTAAAATTAAATCAACTAGAGAAGGAATTAGTATGCCATCTAAAAATACATCTCCACTAGACAAGTTCTTTCTTAAGATGTTTTTATTCAATATTTGTGAGAAATCTAATCTATATCAGTGAAGACTCTGCTTTCCAGCAACAGAAACTTGATTTAGATCATCTTTAAATGGAGAAAACTCTGTGTATAATAATCCCAAACTGATTATAGGTTATATCTAAAACCTAAAACTATAAGATGTATAGGAAAAAATAAAAGTGTTTTATGTCTTTAACTTTAACAAAGATTTTATAAATGGGACACAAAAAGCATAAACTATTAAATAAATCAAGATAAACACCTTCAAAATTAAAAACTTCTTGGGCTGGGGATTTACCTCAGTGATGTCTACGCTGTCTCGCAAGCTCAACGTCCTGAGTACAATCCTGGTACCAAAAAAAAAAAAAAAAAAAAA